CTTTGTCCAGTCTACTGTTGATGGGCATTTAGGTTGATTCCAGGTCTTAGCTATTGTAATTGAGCTGCAGTAAATTTAAGGTACAGACAGCTTTTTTGTTTGCAATTTAATTTCCTTTGGATAAATTCCAAGGAGTGGGATGGCTGGGTTCTATGGTAGGGTTATATTCAGGTTTCTGAGGAAACTCTGTCGTTTCTAGGAGAAAACCTTTATGACCTTAGGGTAGGCAAAGATTTCTTGAATGTGATGTGATAACAGAATTTTTAAAATTAATCTATTGATCTTAGAATGAAAAATGTCTTCTCTACAAAAGACAGTGTTAAGAGAATGAAAAGACAAGCCATAGACTTGGAGAAAATGTTTGCAAATCACATATCTCATAAAGGACTTGTATTCAGAATATTGTAAGAACTCTCCAAACTTTAGAAAGTCACAAAGAATTCAAACCTTAAAAATTTTTGGGTGGAAAGGATATATACTGGCCAATAAGCACTTGATATTCAACATCATTAGTTATTAGGAAATATAAATTTATTGGCCCTGAATCAAGACCAGCAGTTTGCTGAAGCTGTTGGTTTCAAGCAGGAGCCTAAAGAAATGTCTTTCTATGGTCTGTTGACCATTTCAGAACTTCTGAAGTGTAATGGTCAATTCATTGGGAAGAAACACCAGAGTTGTTGGTGATAGATATGGGCTAATATTTATTTTTTAGTCTTTGTACTGGGATTCTTAAAGATTTATATTTATCTCTAGATTCTTTTTTTTTTTTTATTTTTTTTATTTTTTTTTGACAGGCAGAGTGGACAGTGAGAGAGAGAGACAGAGAGAAAGGTCTTCCTTTGCCGTTGGTTCACCCTCCAATGGCCGCCGCGGCCGGCGCGCTGCGGCCGGCGCACCGCGCTGATCCGATGGCAGGAGCCAGGAGCCAGGTGCTTTTCCTGGTCTCCCATGGGGTGCAGGGCCCAAGCACCTGGGCCATCCTCCACTGCACTCCCTGGCCACAGCAGAGGGCTGGCCTGGAAGAGGGGCAACCGGGACAGAATCTGGCGCCCCGACCGGGACTAGAACCCGGTGTGCCGGCGCCGCTAGGCGGAGGATTAGCCTAGTGAGCCGCGGCGCCGGCCTATCTCTAGATTCTTGATTTGACTTGTTCATCAGATTATAATGCTGTAAAATTATTATTAACAAAAAATGTGAATGGTAGGTTTTCCACCCAAAACAAAAGGGTGATATTGCAATGTGAACTTCTAGTATTGTAGTTTTGTATGATCAAGACTCTTATGCATTTTAAACTTCATTCAAATTAGAAACAGTGGTTCAAAAAATTAAAAAAAAAGGAAATATAAATTTAAACTGCAATAGGTATCATTATGTATGTATTAGAATAGTTAAAACATAAGAAGACTGACTATACCAAGAGTTGGTAGAAACATGTTCTCATATGCCACTGGTCAGAATGAAAAATGTTATATCCACTTGGAAACAATTTGGCACTTAAAAAGAAAAACCTATTATTTATTCATTCCACTCCTGAGAACTTACCCAGAGAAATGAGAAACTTATGTGTACAAAGATACTTTTACACACTGGGGCTGGCGCTGTGGCTCATTTGGTTAATTCTCCGCCTGCTGGGCCGGCATCCCATATGGACGCCAGTTCTAGTCCCGGTTGCTCCTCTTCCAGTCCAGCTCTCTGCTGTGGCCCAAGTGCTTGGGTTCCTGCACCCGCATGGAAGACCAAGAAGAAGCACCTGGCTCCTGTCTTCGGATCGGTGCAGCGCCAGCCGTAGTGGCCATTTGGGGAGTGAACCAACAGAAGGAAGACCTTTCTCTCTGTCTCTCTCTCTCACTGTCTATAACTCTACCTATCAAATAAATTTAAAAAAAGTTATTTAAAATAATAAAAGATACTTGTACACAAATGTCCACAGAAGATTGACCTGTATCGGAAACAAACCAAATAGCCTTAATAAGTGAGAGGATAATCACAGTGTGGTTTATTCATCCAGTGGAACTCTATTCAGCAATGAAAAGGAAGAAACTATTGAACATACCACAACATACTTATCACTCAGTTATTCAGAGTGAAAGCCAGATTAAAATAAGATTATGTAATGTATGTTATCATTTATATAAAATTCAAGAAAATTGAAACTATAGTTCCAGAAGGTGCATCTGTAGTTCAATGAAGATGGGGCAGGCATGGGCAGGCAGGCAGAGCCTGAAACTTGCAGTTACAACCCCATTATTTTTGGGGCAATAGACATGTTCACTGTCTTAAGTGGGGTGATGGTTTCACAAGTGTATACACATGTCAAAACGCTAATTTTTTTTTCTTTTTTTCTTTTTTTTTTTTTTATTATTTAATGAGCATAAATTTCCAAAGTACAGCTTATGGACCACAATAGCCTCCTCCCCCCCCCCCCCCCGTGTCTTCCCTCCCATCCACAACGCTCCCCTCTCCCACTCCCTTTCCCCTTCCCCTTCCCATCCCCACAATTAATTTTCAATTATCTTTATATACAGAAGATCAATTTAGCGTATGTTAAGTAAAGATTACCACATTTTGCTCCCACACAGAAACATAAAGTGTAAAATACTATTTGAGTACTAGTTATAGCATTAATTAGACACCTAAGAGTAATTGTGTATTAATTACAGAGCTCAACCAATAGTTTTAAGTAGAATATAAAATGCATCTTTTGCATTGTTGTGGCTTCCCCCCGACCTCCCTCCCTTCCGTGGCCCTCCCTCACCCACTTCTTCTCCCCTCTCCCCCCTTCATCACGCTTCATTTTCGGTTACCTTCATATACCGAAGATCAATTTAGTATATACTAAGCAGGGATTTCAACAGGTTGCACTCACACAACCGAACCAGGTATAGGGTATTGTTCGACTAGTAGTGTTGTTTTTGAGTTTCATAGATAAACATATTGAGGACAGAGATCCTGCGAGGGGAGCATGAACCCAGTGACTCCCGTTGTTGATTTAACAATTGGCACTCTTATTTATGACGTCAGCAATCACCCGAGACTCTTGCTATGAGCTGTCTAGGCTATGGAGGCCCCTTGAGTTCACCAACTCTGAATTTGTTTAGTCAAGGCCATATCACAGTGGAGGTTCCTTCCTCCCTTCAGAGAAAGGCGCCTCTCTCCTTGATGGCCTGATCCTTCTGCTGGAGTGTTGTTCGCCAGGATCCTTCATTTAGATTGTTTTTTTGCCACCGTGTCATGGCTTTCCATGCCTGCGAGACTCTCATGGACCTTTTAGTCAGATCCGAATGTCCCAAGGGTTGATTCTGAGGCAGGAGTGCTGCAAAACGCTAAATTGTACACTTAACAAATGTGTCTGGGGTGGGTGTTTGGTGCAACAGATAAGATGCAGCTTGGGACATCTGCATCCCTTGTCTGAGTGCTTAGTTTTGAGTCCTGGCTCTGCTTATGATTCCAGCTTCTGGCTGATGTGCACCCTGGGAGGCAGCAGGTTATGGCTCAAGTGGTTGGGTCTCAGCAATCCATATGAGACCCAGATTGAGTGCCGAGCTCCTGGCTTTGGCCTGGCCCAGCTCTGGATGTTGAGGGCATTTGGAGAGTGGGCCAGTGAATGGAATATCTCTGCCTCTGTATGTCTCTCTCTCTCTCTCCCCTGTTTCTTTTCACTTAAAACAGGTAAAAAGAAATATTTTTAACAATTAAAATGTGTCAGGTCTGGTGCTGTGGTGTAGTGGGTAAAGCCACCGCCTGCCATGGCAGCATCCCATATGTGCTCCAGTCCTGGGTGCTAATGTGCCTGGGAAAGCAGTGGAAGATGGCCCTAGTGCTTGTACCCCTGTACCCATGTGGGAGACCTGGATGAAGCTCCTGGCTCCTGGCTTTGGCCTGGCTCAGCTTGGTCATTGTGGCCATTTGAGGTGGAAGGTGTGTGTGTGTGTGTCCCTCTCTCCACCTGTGACTTTCAAAATAAATCTTTTAAAAGTTATACCGCCCAATAAATCTGTTAAGATTATGTGACCTTATTTTGGCAAAAATACATGTGCATATTATGCAATTGGAAGAGGACATATACACCAAAATGAAAACACAACTTACTTTTCTGTCCTTTTGCCCTTTCTTTATCTTTGTCCTACTCATCTTCATTTGCTTATTTACACTTTCAGATTTCAAAAACTGACATGTATTGCATGTGTAACAAAAATAATGCAGAACAAAGAACCAGAGAGATAAAGAAGGAAAGGTTGTGATCTTATTAACAGGGACAGGAGGTACAATTTTAAAGATATCTCTTATTTTAGAACAAAGATTTGTACAAAAATCCATCAGACATGAAACACTTAGGGATTAAAACAGTGGGCTTTTGTGCACCTTAGAAAGCAAACGCTAAAATTTTAACATAACTGATAAGCCAATACAGATAAAAAAATGTATTAAAAATCTCAATCCATAAGAGGGCAGAAGAAGGACAGGAAGAACAAAGAACACATGAGACACTTTGTCCTTTATGTTTTGCTTGGAGTTTTTTTTTTGTTTTTTTTTTTTTTTTTGTCATCCAAGTTTGTTTCAATTACTTCTGGCTTTTCAGTTATACCTAAGAAATGATCCCTCATTCTTAGGTTAAGATAAGCTACAGAAAAATTCACTTATGTTTTCTTCTAATGCATGTATGTTTTTACCTTTTATTTAAATCTTTGATCCATTCAGAACTTATTTTGTACTACCAGGTCCAATTTTTTTTGGTTACATGTAATTATACAGTAGTTCTCATCAAATCCATTACTTGAAAGTCTTGTTCCTCACTGACTTGAGATGCTGTATTTTTTCTTTTTGACTCTTTCACTTTCCTTTATCTTATTGTAGTTTTAAAGTAAGCAGATTTAAAGATTCTGACTTTATTAAACTGTAACATTTTAAGGGGTACCTTGGTGTTTTCTTAATTTCACGTTGAAGCACAAAACCCGGAATTCTACAACTTTGAACGCTAATGAAGTGTTATTTTCTTACAGTGCCACAAGGTTGCAGTAGTGAGAGAAGACAAATTAGAAGGTAAATGTATTTATGATTTGGCAGGTTTTTTCTTATGGAGTCAGTGTAAGTACAATAAAAAAAAATCTTTACCTAACAGCTGCATGCTTTTATTTATATATATATAGAGAGAGAGAGAGAGAGAGCGAGCGTGAGAGCGAGCAAGCTACTTAATAAAAGAGCTCTGTTCCTTTTATGAATAGTTTCTGAAACATGTTTTAAAACATAATACTACATCTGCCTAACTTCCTGTTCTTAAGGTTGATAGCTGTATCAAGCGCTTTTATCACAGGATTTCAAAACTTATGACAAACATACAGAAAAACTATGATCGGTACTGTATAGGACACCTCATTGATAAAAATACTGCATTGTGTTCCATACAGTTTTTTTTTTTTTTTTAAGGAAGAAAATAAAAGAACACTTTTTTAGAAATGAGAAAGACTCCAAAATTGAATAACTTTTTTAAAAAAAAATTAGTTATTTTAAAGCCACAGTTACGGAGAATAAGGGATAGACAGATATCTTCCATCAGCTGGTTTACTCCCCAGATGTCCACAAAGGTGGGGGCTGGGCCAGACTGAAGCCAAGAGCCAGGGACTCCATCTAGGTCTCCCACGTGGGTGGCAGGGCCCCAATTGCTTGGGACATCTGCTGCTTTCCCAGGCATAATAGCAGGGCTGGATTGGAACTGGAGCAGCCAGGACTAAAACCAGTTCTCATGGGATGCTGTCATCACAGGTGGTGGTGTAATCTGCTATACCATGATGCTGCCCCCAGATAACTTTTTTTTTTTTCTTTCTTTTGACGGAGTGGACAGTGAGAGAGAGAGACAGAGAGAAAGGTCTACCGTTTTCTGTTGGTTCACCCCCCAATGGCCACCGTGGCCGGCGCACCGTGCTGATCCAAAGCCAGGAGCCAGGTGCTTCTCCTGGTCTCCCATGCGGGTGCAGGGCCCAGGGACTTGGGTCATCCTCCACTGCACTCCCGGGCCACAGCAGAGAGCTGGACTGGAAGAGGAGCAACTGGGACAGAACCGGCGCCCCGACCAGGACTAGAACCCGGTGTGCCGGCGCCACAGGCGGAGGATTAGCCTAGTGAGCTGCGGCGCTGGCCCCAAATAACTTCTACATTAAATTTGTCCAGCTGTTTTAAGGCTGTTAGTACTACTCTTTGTTTAAAACCCAATTCAAAAGAATTTAATAACAGATCTTCATGATCCTGAACTTAAGTTTCAAAACAAAATTTCATTATTGTACTTTGTAGACTCCTGCCAGAATAGGGGGGTATTTTCTCACCTAGTTGTCTTTGGAGTATTTAGGGTGGTGGTGGTGGTGTCCCCTGTGGCAGATAGAGTCAGATCTCATTATTATTTAGATCTGTGGTGGTTATCCACTCTGTGCCTTGCTCTGTTTTAGACACTGGGGCATGTGGAAAGGTAGGCACAGTCCTTTCCTTTGTGGAACTTACAATTTGTTTTTGTGATTTTCTTTTTTTTCTGCAGATTTATCTAGTTAGTAGTATTTTTATGTAGTTGCTTTCTCTAAACTAAAATTGAAATATGTAAGTGAGCCTTCTCAAGTAGAGATTACTTATTTTTAATTATATGCTAGAATGTGAGGTTCTTCACTGGCCATAAAAAAAGAACATTGTAGTCACCATTGGTCATTAATTAATATTTGCTGAGTGTCTACTGCATGAGTGATATCCTCAGTTGCTGTACTTAGGAATGACTCACTGCCACCTATGTTGTCATAATGTCCCCACTGCAGACAGAAGGATTGATGTTACACTGTATATGTGGCTATTTGGCCTTCTAGAGTTTTTGAACCACTACAGATGGCAAATGGTTTAATGCAGATGGGTTTCTTGTTAAAGTCCCCACATGCGATGAACTTTGTGTATTAACAGACTGCTTTTCCTGTTGACTTGTAGCAGTGAAATCCAAGCTAGCTGTGACTGCCAGCATCCATGTGTACAGCATCCAGAAAGCCATGCTAAAGGACAGTGGGCCTCTGTTCAATACTGACTATGACATCCTTAAAAGCAACTTGCAGAACTGCAGCAAGTAAGCTCCTTAATGTTCCTTGTGGGCTTCTTTAGGAATTGATTTTGTAAGATGTTTACACAGTGGCTGCCTCTTCAGAGTGATTGCCAAGTCTAGTAAAACCCCATTTATCTTGCAGTAAGACACATGCTTGGTTTTATTAGCACATCATAAGATGAAAAATAGCAGCCACAACCCACATTGAAAACCCCAATGGACTCCTCATAAATCTATTTCTCCTTTCAAAACTGTTTGTTGTGCCCCCTTGGTACTCCTTTACCCCAGTCTCTGCTTGTCTAAATCCTACCTACCCTTCAAGAACAGGTTCAAATGTCCTTCAAAAAACTATGCCTAATTTGGTATATCTCTTCCTTCTAACCAACAACAACTTCTTGAGCTTCCATAGCCAGAATCAGGTCCTCTAAATCTTGTATCTTTCACAGTACAGAGAGGTGATGCATGTGCATTTTGGAAGTTGATGGTTATAGACTTGAGTAGTACTCTGCTGATTTAATAGCCCACTGGGTTTGGGCAAGTTACATAAGCTCTTTGAGCTCTTATTTCATCTTTAAATTGGATGTAAATAATGCCTACTTTGTGGGGTTGTATTGAAGGCTTAAATTAGTTCTTCAAACATACATTGTGAGCACCTGCTACTTTGACAGGTACTAAGCCAAATCATTGGAATTGATTCAGCAAATATCTGATTAGTATACCTGTTATTTGCCACACATTATAGGATGACTATCACCCAGTACCTACTCATGGAACTGATGATCTGATGGGAAACAGGCAGTTAACACAGTGTGGTCATGCTATAGTAGGAGCAACAGGAAATCAGGGAGAACACTTGTATCCTGCTTTTGGGTGGGTGGAATGAATGGCAAGACAGAAGTCTTTTTGAAGGTTATAACATCAAAGTTGAGGGTTGAAGGCTAGGCAGAGGAGAAATGGAAGAGTAAGAACAGAGCTGAGAGAGAAAGCATGATTCTTGTATGCAACCATGATAGTTTCTGTGGCTGGAACTTAGAGGGAGAAAATGAGATAGAAGACTGAAAATGTGCCATTATGCTTTGACTCCTGGGATAAGGAGTTTCATTCTGAGAGTACAGGGGAGCCACTGAAGATTTTTAAACAGATGGAGTAAAATGATCAGAATTACATTTCAGGGGCCTGCACTGTGGTGTAGTAGGTTAAGCATCCACCTGCGGCATGTGTACAGCATCCAGAGTCCCAGCTGCTCCATTTCCAATCCATCTCCCTGCTTATGGCCTGGGAAAGCAGTAGAAGATGGTCCAAGTGCTTGAGCTCTTGTACTTGCGTGGGAGACCTGGAAGAAGCTCCTGGCTTTGGATGGCCCAAGTGCGTCTGTTGTGGCCATTTGGGGAGTAAACCAGCAGATGGAAGACCTCTCTCTCCTAAGTAAATAAATAAATCTTAAAAAAACAAAAAACAAAAAACTGCATTTTAGAAAGATCACTCTGGCTGCAGTGTTATAGGTAGGTCAGAAGGCAGTAATCTGGAGGCAAGGCAATCAAAGAAGAGAAATGTTGCCATGATCCATGATAGGGAGGACAGCTGTGGTAAAGTAGTGGTGGAGATGGAGAGACATGAAGATTAGAGTCGTAATTATCAAGGGCAAGCTGTGGGTGTGAGATAGCTGTTCATGGTGTTAGGGATGATATTCAACATCTGTTTGAGTAACTGGGTACTAAGGGAATGTAAAAGGAGGAGCAAGCTCTAAGAAGAGGGAAAAATGATGAATTGGGTTTTGGACATGTTAATTTTTAGCCGATCCGAAGCCAGGAGCTTCTGGGTCTCCCACATGGGTGCAGAGGCCCAGGGACTTGGGCCATCTTCTACTGCTTTCCCAGGCCGTAGCAGAGAGCTGGATGGGAGGTGGAGCAGCCGGGTCTCGAACCGGCGCCCATATGGGTTGCCGCCACAGCACCGGCCCCTAAAGATAGATTTTGAAATCAGAGAAAATAGGATTAGTAACTGGATCATAGCAATAGATAAAACTTATACAGAATATAGAATGCCAGGTCAGTTACTAGTGTGTGACCTTGGACTAATGATTTAACCTTTCTGTGTTTTATTTTCCTTATCAGTAAGATGGAGTTAACAAGAATACTAACTTCATATATGTTATAAAGCTCTTATTGCAGTGGTTGACATGTAGTAAGCGCTATTTAATGATAGCTTTTTCAAAAAAATATTTATTTGGAAGGCAGAGGGACAGAGACAGAGGTAGAGAGACAGAACAAGAGAGATCTTCATCTGCTTGTTTACTTCCCAAATGCTTGCAATAGCCAAGGCTGTGCCAGGCTTAAGCCAGGAGCCTAGAACTCCCTCCACATCTCATGTAGGTGGCAAGGACCCAAGTATTTAAGGCATCATCTGCTGCTTCTCAGGTACATTAAGAGCAAGATGGAATGGCAGTGGAATAGCTGGAACTCAAACCAGGCACCCCAATAAGAGATGTAGGTATCTGAAGCAGGGGTTTAACCTGTTGTGCCAAAATGCTTACCCCATTATAGCTATTTTGAAAGGGATGCACAGAAAAAGAGGGGACCAGGAAAGAGCTGCCAAAGACAAAAAGAAAATCACTAAAGTGTATGGGGTCCCAGCACACAAGGGAAGAGTTTCAGGAGGGATTTTCAGGAGGGATTGGTCTACAATGTGAAATGCTGCTGAAAAGCCAAGTAAGAACTGAAAAGTGCCCATTGATTCAGTGATGGTTGTGGTAAGAGCATTTTCAGTGGAGTGACCAGGTTCTGTCCAGCTGAGTCAATGGGCAAATGAGGAAGTGAGACAGCTAATACATGCAACTCTTTGCGAGAAACTTGACTATGAAATGGAGGGGAACAGAGGGCAGTAGCTAAGGAGGAACTGACACTAAAGAAGGATATTTACAGTTTTAAAGTTGAGGATGATATGAACTTACGTTGTTAGGAAAAAGGTGTGGAAAGAGAAGGTTGAAAATATTGGGGAAGATGGGGTAACTGATTGAGATGGGTTCTTAAAGTGAAATAGATGCAGAATTGGGGCTGGCATTGTGGCATAGCAGGTAAAGTGGCTGCCTGTGATGCCAGCATCCCATATGGGTGCCAGTTCGAATCCTGGCTGCTCTACTTCAGATTCAGCTCCCTGCTAATGGCCTGGGAAAAGCAGTAGAAGATGGCCCAAGTACTATACCCACAAGAAGATCTTGGCGTCATCCTGGCCCAACCCTGGCTGTTACAGCCATCTGGGGAGTAACCAGGAAGTAGAAGATCTGTCTCTTTCTCTCTCCCTTTTTCTCTGTAACTCTTGTCTTTCAAGTAAATAAATAAGTCTTTAAAAAAAGACTTACGAAATTGCCAGACAGAAATTCCAGAATAGGGATCATGTCTGTTTTATTAACTGTATAACCAAGATGGTGCCTGGCATGTGATAAATAATTGGCATATATAATTGCATGTAATTGTTGAATGAACCGATATTAGTTCCTTTCCTTTAGCTCAAAACTTCGAGTGTAATAGGCATAAATATTTTTTAAATATATAACCGCAATGAAATAATGTACAAATCCAGAGTCTTTTTGGGAAAGATTTCAAGAGAACATTGAAATGTTGGTAAGTTTATATAAAATCTATTTTAGGATTTTGAAATAATCTGTGTTTAAACCTAGTCATGGCATGTAAGGCTCTAAAAATCAATTCTTCTGTTGTATCTATGAAGTAAGCAAACAAGAATAAAAGTGACTCAAAAGCTCAAAATGAAATTTCCACAGGGCCCATTAAAGTAAACATGGCAAGTAGGATTGTGATAATAGGAAGCACTTCCATGAAACTTTACCTAAAAACTTAGTGTCCTCAGTAGAAATGTGAAGAATTTATCTCCAATAAAGAAGTTTGTGTTTGGTCCTGAGAATTACTGGCCAACTGAGAACTGACTCATGATTTTGTGTGTTTTAAGAAGTGCTGTGACAGGAAGAAAGTTGAAATTTTAGGATTGAGCAGAGATTCTTCTCTTCAGACATACTCCCAGCCTAACTTGATCGCTTCCTCATTGCCAGTTCCTGGTCCTGACCCTAAGGTGTGGAATGTGAACCAAACGGAGAAAGAGTTGTCTCAGGGCCAACTTTAGATGTTGACAGTGAAATAAAACATTGCCCTTTTCCTTGTACCTGGAAGCACTACAAGGCCAGAGAGGAAGAATGGTGGGTGAAAGTAAATGATTTCCATCTGTTCTCAATTCTGAGGCACAGGAGATGTGTGTTATATAGGGTTTGCTGATGCGGACTGTAATAAATCAGTGGAAGGTTTCTGGAGCTGTAGATGCTAGCTTTGGGACTGTTCAGTCTAAAGCTATTCTTGACATGAAATGAAATTATATTGTGTCCAATTGTTTTCTTAGGCCAGTTATTCCATCAGTCAATGTTGTCAAAGTTGTACCTTGTTGATGTCTAAGATAATTGATGTTACTGCATATTTTCTGATATATTAAAGAAGACAAACCAGAAGCCTCAGTCACTTAAATAGTCATTCTTTTTTTAAAAAAATTTATTTATTTATTTATTTGAAAGAGTTACACGGAGAGAGGAGAGGCAGAGAGAGAGAGAGAGAGAGAGAGAGAGAGAGAGAGGTCTTCCATCTGCTGGTTCACTCCCCAGTTGGCGGCAACGGCCAGAGCTGAGGCAATCCAAAGCCAGGAGCCAGGAGCTTCTTCTGGGTCTCCCACATGGGTGCAGGGGCCCAAGGACTTGGGCCATCTTCTACTGCTTTCCCAGGCCATAGTAGAGAGCCGGATTGGAAGAGGAATAGCCAGGACTCGAATCGGCGCCCATATGGGATGCCTGCACGGCAGACAGCAGCTTTACCCATTACGCCACAGTGCTAACCCCACTTAAATGGTTACGTCTTTCCTAATACTTGCTATGTGCCAGGTCTTGTGTTGACTGCCTGAAATAAAAGTGACAGCTAAAACCTGCAAGGAGCTCTTCCCTACCCTCAGTGAATAAAAGACATGGAAAATAAAATGCCTTTATTTGCTAGGATTTTGCTTAAGTATAACCCTTAAAAACTTTTTTAATTGATTTGAGAGATACAGAACTCCATCCACTCTTTGTTGTACACACCAAATGATCACAATGGCCAGGACTGGGCTGGGCCAGGCCAGTTCATAGGAACCATGAACTCAACTCAGGTCTTCCACATGAGTGCCAGGAACCCAGCCACTTGCATCATCACTGTTGCCTCCCAGGATCTGCATTGGTGGGAGGCTTGATTTGGGAGCCAAGTATAGGACCCAAATTGTCCAATGTGGGGCATGAGCATGTTAATCACTGGGATAATTGGCTACCCCAGTGTAACCCTTTGAGAAGGCTGAATCAGTTATCCTGCCACATTGTAGAACATTACATTATGGGTTTGTGTGAAACAGGCACATCTCTAATGATGAGATGAATCATTAGAAAAGGTGACTGTTCCCTTTAATATACCATACAAACTATTCCACCAGATTTCTTCACTTGGCTTTGGACATACTTGTCTGGTACTATTTGTTAAGATTGTTAGAAATTAGTAACAAATGATTGGGAAGGACTATAGGTTATAGGAGCCAGTCACTCTATTCTCAGCTTCTTCCTTTTTTTTTTTTTTTTTAAGATCTATTTGTTTATTTGAAAGGCAGAGTTAACAGAGAGGCAGAGGCAGACATAGAGAGAGGTCTTCCGTCTGCTGGTTCACTTCCCAGTTGGCCACAATGGCTGGAGCTGCTCCGATTCGGAGCCAGGAGCTTCTTCCAGGTCTCCCACGTGGGTGCAGAGGCCCCAGGACTTGAGCCATCTTCCACTGCTTTCCCAGTCCATAGCAGAGAGCTGGATCAGAAGTGGAGCAGCCAGAACTTGAACCAGCACCCACATGGGATTTGGGCACTGTGGGCAACAGCTTTACCTGCTATGCCACAGCACCGGCCCTTCTTCCACCTTTTAAATCAGACTTCTCAGGCCAGGAGAGCTGCCAGGAAACTTGTTAATAATTAAAGCTCTTGGATTTGATTCAGTCCATATTCGTTGCATAGCCAGCTATGTAAGAGGAAGACCTTCAAATTAAGGGATAACCATGTGGTTTCCCAAGGATAGTAAAATTGCTAAATATTTTATTATTATTTTGTGAATTCTTACTCTTTTGAATTAGGATTTTCTTTTTTCAAAGAATTAGGAATATTCAATATGGTGTGGTAGAAGATACCTGATTCCAATCCTAGCTCTATCATTAACTAGATGTATAACCTTAGGACAAATCACTCATTTCTCTTATCTAAATGAAGGTTTCTTTATTTCAATGAGTTTGTTTCATTTTTTTTTTTAAGATTTACGTATTTATTTGAAAGAGTTAGAGAGAGGGAAAAACAGAAGCAGAGATCTTTCATCCACTGGTTCACTCCCCAAGTGGCTGCAACAGCCAGGGCTGAGCCAGGCTGAAACCAGAAGCCACATCTGGGTCTCCCACATGAGTGGTAGGGGCCCAAACACTTGAGCCATCTTCTGCTGCTCTTTCCAGGCCAATCCAGGAAGCTGGATTGGAAATGGAGGAGCAGGGAATGAACTGGTGCCCATATGGGACACTGGTATCTTAGGCTACTGCCTCACCTACTATGCCACAAAGCCAGCCCCATCAATGAGAGTTTTATACCAAACAAGTTCTAAACATCCTAGTTCTAAAATTCCCAAATTTTATAGTTTCTGGGTTACAAAGAAGGAAGAGTTTGAAAATAAGGGACCAGAGCAATTAGCACAGTGGTTAAGATGCCACGTAGGACTCACATATGGTGGAATGACTGAGTTTGAGTGCTGGTTCCAGTCCCATTCCAGTTTCCTGCTAATGGACACCCTGAGAGCCAGCAGGTGATGACAGGTACTTAATTCCCTGCCACCCATGTGGGAGATCCAGATTGGATTAAGGGCATTTGAGGGTGAATCAGCAATTGGAGATCTTTGTCTCTCTACCTTTCAAATAAATAAATAAATAAATAACTCTGGAAATCCAGAGTCTAGAGATAGGTTTGATACTAACATTAATTTAAAGTAACATTTGTGTCCTCAGGTTTAGTGCCATACAGTGTGCAGCTGCTGTTCCTAGAGCTCCTGCAGAATCCTCATCCTCCAAAAAGTTTGAGCAGTCAAATCTTCAAGTACCAAGTGAGACACAAGTGAATAATGAGCCTACTACCAATGGTCATGGCCCACCTGCCTCCAAGCAGGTTTCCCAGCAGCCGAAAGGAATTATGGGAATGTTCGCTGCTAAGGCTGCTACTAAAACCCAAGATGCCAACAAAGAAACAAAAACAGAGGCTAAAGACGTAACAAATGTGAGTCCTCTTTGAAGATATGCCTTTATTATAGCTTAGAATGGGAATCTAAAAAAGTACTAATAATTCCAGTAATAGTAGTTTGATTACATAAGTTTCTGATTTTTCTACTGTAGTTTGAACCTTTTAATCTCTATATTCTCATCTAAAGCAGTTTTTTACTTTTGCTAATATTTCTTGTCAAAGCTTGTATTCTACTGTCAAATGGTATTGACTGGCCTGAAAACATCAACAGGATTGTTGAGAGACCCAGTTGAGATAGATAATGCATGTGAAAAAATGTTGAAAATTGCAAAGCTTAAGGAATTGCATGTTAGCAGTCACTCTAGGAATATTTCCATATATGTCCATATATGCTTGCCTTGTATTTAACATTCTTGTTCTATACATTTTTCTTTTCTTTTTTTTTTAGATTTATTTATTAATTTGAAAATCAGAGTTACTGAGAGAGGAGAGGCAGAGAGAGAGAGAGAGAGAGAGAAAGGTAGAGACAGAGAAAGAGGTTTTCCATCTGCTGGTTCACTCCCCAGATGGCTGCAACGGCCGGAGCTGCGCCAATCTGAAGCCAGGAGCCAGGAGCTCCTTCCAGGTCTCCCACGCAGGTGCAGAGGCCCAAAGACTTGGGCCATCTTCTACTGCTTTCCTAGGCCATAGCAGAGAGCTGGATCAGAAGTGGAGCATCTGGGTCTCGAACCAGCACCCATATGGGATGTTGGCGCTACAGGCCAGGGCATTAACCTACTGTGCCACAGCACCGGCCCCTCCAAACATTTTTCTTGATCTATTTCTTCAGTTGAGTTCCCTTAGTTTTTTATTGTTCAGTCATCTGGACTAAAGGGCATTGACTTAAAAGATTCAAGAAAAATGTAATTATTGTCATTACTGTTGCCATCATTATGATTTTTTTTTTTTTTTTTTTTGGTCATCTTCAGGCTTTTGTTCTGGGAAAGTAGAAGAGGGATAGCGTGAAACACACTCTTTGAATTTGTACTGTGTGCCAATAGTTTGATCTTTGTTTAACTCCTCTTGTCAGTTACATGAGGGACATACTACCATTTCCATTCTGTATGTGATAAAACTGAAGGCTAGACTTGTTAAAAAAAAATGTGCCTATAGGTCATTTTGCTGGTATGTGGTAGAACCATGGTTCAGATCCATTTCTTAATGATTAAAGATGTTTTATGTTGAAATTTCCTCCCCCTACTTCTACCATACTCCGTCTGACCTGTTTTAATTCTGTCAAACTAAATAGTTTTTAAGTAGGCTCAAAGTAAGTTTAGCCATATCTGTGGATAGTAATTTAATAAGCACTATGAGAAACTAAGTGTTGGAGATTAACACCTGATACTGTCTGGTATGGACTGTTCTAGATTTATCCTTTCTAATTCCTACACAATCATACATGGTTCTATACAGACTGTATAGCACACAATGTGCTGTGCTATTGAAGAGATGGTTCGAGACTGCTCCTTCAAAAGTCAGCTAAATGCTAGGGAAAAATCGTGTGTGTTTTCTTTTCTATGCTTTTAGGCATCCTCGGCAGGCACCAAGGCATCTGGGAAAGGGAATGTGATGAGCAACTTTTTTGGAAAAGCTGCAATGAGTAAGCTTGATTTTCCTTTGGCTAATAAATGAATGTTAATGCACTAACGTAATTGAGGGAAAAGCTACCTTCTAGTTTTTGCCCATCTGGGAGACTACCATAAAGTATTCCTGCATTCTAACAAATTTACAGTGTCCTGAGAATATACTGATGAAAGTAACTCAGCTGAAACAGTGGACTTTATAGGTGAACTGGGCTCAGTTGAGATCTCTTGAAGGTGGTTTACTTTTCCTACTTTTATCTCCTTCCTTGAAGAGAGAGGGACATATTTTCTTCATAGCGCTCTTGAAAATGGGTGGGAAAATGAATGGGATACTGGCCGGTTAAACAGTGTTGTGTTGAGGTTGAGACCACAGATGCCAGAGTCAGTTTGCCTGTTGTGACCTTTAGCACCCTTATCTTCCAATGGGCAGCAAATATTTTCCCCTTTTGAATTAAACCTTAGTGTGAATTAGAAGAGCCCCAGTAGTAATAGCCATCTTAAAGTATCTATTTTTGAGAAATCAAAAATCTTACTTATTTAATAATTTTTTTTAATAAGAATGATTTTCAGTGGAAAGAAAGCACAGTCACATATTTTCATACTTTCATGTCAAGTACACCTCCACTAGGTATGTGTGGCAGGATACCAGGGAGAATGCAGAAGCCTCAGGATAGTTAGGGTACACTTCTTTGGAGCATCAGTTTGACAAAGATTCTGCAAGGAAGCATTTTGTTTATACACCTATGCAAGCAGAATTAGTGAGAATTCTGCTTTTCCATGATGGTTAATTAGGTAGACAGGGAAGAAATGAAGGTGATAGTTTTTTATTTGCAAAACTGCTATCTCTTTATATTTTAAAATGGAAAATGTGGTACTTTCAGAGTATTGGGAAGCAGAACTGAGGTACTGCAGACGATACAATCACGGGAACTCAGGGAATTCCTGCTTTCTGAACGCACAGCCATGCTGGTGTCAGTGGCCTGCATGGCTGGTAGCGGGCCCCTGGACATGATCAGATTCTAAGTTCTTGGCAGTTTGTTGAGGCCCACACGTTTGTTTCTTTTCTTCTTTTTTTTGACTGGCGTGGCCAGTGAGGGAGAGAGACAGAGAAAGGTCTTCCTTTACCATTGGTTCACTCTTCAATGGCCGGCGCACTGCGCTGATCCGAAGCCAAGAGCCAGTTGCTTCTCCTGGTCTCCCATGCAGGTGCAGGACCTAAGGACTTGGGCCATCCTCCACTGCACTCCCAGGCCAAAGCAGAGAGCTGGACTGGAAGAGGGGCAACCGGGACTAAAACCTGGTGTGCCAGTGCCGCAGGCGGAGGATTAGCCTATTGAGCCATGGCGCTGGCCTCTTTTCTTTTTAAATGTCTTTGTCACCTTAAAAATCAGTGCATTTTTAGAATTATTTTTCCTTTTTTTTTTTTTTTTTAAGATTCATTTATTTATTTGAAGGTAGAGTTACAGAGAGGCAGAGGCAGAGAGAGAGAGAGAGAGGTCTTCCATCCACTGATTCATTCCTCAGGTGGCCACAATGGCCAGAGCTACACCAATCTGAAGCCTGGAGCTAGAAGCTTCTTCCAGGTCTCCCACCTGGGTGCAGGGGCCCAAGGACTTGGGCCATCTTCTTCTGCTTTCCCCAGCCATAGCAGAAAGCTAGATCGGAAGTGGCACAGTCAGGACTTGAAACAGCAGCCATATGGAATGCCTGCACTGCAGGCAGCAGCTTTACCGGCTACGCCACAGCACCAGCCCCATAAAATTATTATTCCTTAAATTGACATAATCATTGTAAATATTTATAGGGTGCCGTTTAATACAGTGTGGTCAAATCAGAATAATTTATCAGTTTCATCTCTTTAAACCTCATTTCTTTCTGTTAGGAACTTTGAACTTCTGTCTTCTAGTTTTTTATATATAATAAGTTGTTGGAAACTGTAGATAAATTATTTTTAAATATATTAAAATATGTGAACATCTTGCTAATTATAACACCAAATCAGAATGTATAGAAGTATACACTTATTTATTTAGCAATACTAGCTGAGCAGCTACTACATGTTTGCCACTTATGTTACTGGTGATACAATGGAGAAAAAGACAATCAAGATCCCTTCCTTATAGCCCGTATGTTCTACTAGGAGAGAGAAGCAAATGAATGTGGAAAAAATGAAATCGTTATTGACTGTAATTGCTCAGCAGAGGGCAACAGGGTGTTATGATAGCATGAGATGGGAGGAGGGAAACTTGGATAAAATAAAAAATAGTCACCTAATAAAAAGAATCACAAGGTTGACTTATTTAACAGGTGTTTTCTCAAGGCTGAATATTCAGTATAAAATTTTGAATTTTTTGAGACATAGCAATAAATTGCAGTAATGATTAAGCTTGAGAGTTGGAGAGCTGGTTTTAAGGGTTTGAACCATCTAAGAATGCTGATCAATAACAGGTGTTAGCAAGGATGTGGAAAAATTGAGTTCTCATACTTTGGACTTAAGGAATGGAAAATCATGTGATGGATGGTTTAAAAAACTGCACACAAAAATTTGTACACAAATGCTCATAGCAGCATTTTCCATAATGTCCAAAATGTGGAACCAACTCAAAGGTCCATCTGATGAAGGGGGTAAATAAACTGGTATATCCAGATGGTGGAATGTTATTCAGCCATGAAAAGGAATGAAGTACAGATACATGTGATGCATGGGTGAACCTGAGACATGAAGTAAAAGGAGGCCAGCACCATGGCTCACTTGGTTAATCCTCTGCCTTTGGTGCCGGCATCCCATACGGGCGCTGGGTTCCAGTCCAGGTTGCTCCTCTTCCAGTCCAGCTCTCTGCTGTGGCCCGGGAAAAGGCAGTGAAGGATGGCCCAAATGCTTGGGCCCCTGTACCCGCATGGGAGACCGGGAGGAAGTATCTGGCTCCTGCTTCGGATCTGCGCAGCGCCGGCTGTAGCGGCCATTTGGGGAGTGAACCAACAGAAGGAAGACCTTTCTCTCTCTCTCACTGTCTGTAATTCCACCTGTCAAATAAATAGCCTCTCTTTCCTTGGCACAAGATCAGAAATATTTGGAGGTTTTTCCTTATAATAATATAATTTTAAAACAAATGGTAGTATAACAGTATAACTTATAAAATGTAAAATTTGGATATGTTGTAAAAACACATATATTCAGAAGATTGTTTATTAGGACTGGCTATTAACCCCTACACCCTCTAGAGATGCATGCTTACTCTTGTACTCTTTGGGATATTTTGGTGAAAATATTTGAGAAGCATTGATACTTACGAACCGACAGTATTGGAAATGCACGAGCGTATACCACCACTGGGCTGGTGAATTCCACCATCCAGAATACCCTTTTTTTTTCTTCTCTCTTGTAAGATTTATTTATTTGAAAGGCAGAGTTACAGAGAGAAGGAGAGACAGGGAGAGATCTTCTCTCTTGGGATTCACTCCCCATATGGCCACAATAGCCAGGGCTGGGCTAGACTGAAGCCAGGAGCTTATTCTGTGTCTCCCACATGGGTGCAGGGGTCCAAACACTTGGGCCATCTTCTGTTGCTTTCCCAGGCGCATTAGCAGGGAGCTGGATTGGAAGAGAAGCAGCTGGTACTTGAACTGGTGCTCATATAGGATGCTGGCACTGCAGGTGGCAGCTTAACCCACTACGCCACAGTGCAGGCCCAGATTACCCATTTAAGTCTTAAAAAACAAAAACCCAAGTATAAGTAGTTTGCATTTTACACTTTGGTCCATCATGTACATTTTCAACTCATACACATATTTATTATTATATCAAACTGTATGTATCAGCCAAGATTATCAGTTTTTATCTATACTTAGATGATTTAAGCTGCTATACAACACATAACCAAAGCTGCTTATTAAGGAGCTTCCTACTGCTTATAGCTAATAGTGTTTTGTGACTTTGCTTGTAAAAAAATTACTGCTGAGTACAGTGTGAAGGCAAAATTATATACCTCTTTTTTTTTAAGATTTATTTATTTATTTGAGAGAGTTACACAGAGAGAGAAGGAGAGGCAGAGAGAGGTGTTCCATCTGATGGTTCACTCCCCAATTGGCCGCAATGGCCAGAGCTGTGCTGGTGCAGGGGCCCAAGGACTTGGGTCATCTTCTACTGCTTTCCCAGGCCATAACAGAGAGCTGGATTGGAAGAGGGGCAGCTGGGACTAGAACCAGCACCTATATGGAATGCCGGTGCTGCAGGCACCGCCACAGTGCCAGCCCCCAAATTATGCTTCTATAGTCTCTCAGATGGCTAGGCCCATTTGCATTTCCTGGTCCTCTGCACTGCACAATGGTTTTTGTGTTTTTCAACTGGTGTGTAGGGAAAGGGGTAAAGATGGACTTTGGAGTGTTAAACTGACTAAGGTTCAAATCCTGGCCCTTTGCTTTTGTATGTGTTACCTTGGGTAAGTCACTGAATCTCACATACTTATCTCTTAATCCTTACAATGATACAAATATTATCCCAGTGATTACAGATAAGACTGACTCATATAAAATAACTTGCCCAGAGGGAAGAATAGTCTTCCAATTTTGTCATTAGGGTAGGAGTGAGAATAAGAGTATCCAAACTTGAAAAGGTAGACTCTGGTAGAAAGAAAGGTTGTGCCTGCATGTTCTGTTATCAGCACTTGTAAGTTGTGTACTTAGGGGAAACATTTTATAATCCTTCTGACTCCTAATTTTCCTCATCTGAAAAGTGAGAGAGATGATACCTCATAAACCTATATTTATTCTTTCTAAGCTTAGCTTTTACTATCATTTGGCCTAGGGGCGGTCATAATGAGAGATTAGTGGGAAGCAAGATAAGAACAGTTATAGCTAGTGTAGTCAATGAAAAGGAAAAGTGTTTTCTGAATAGACCTAGAGCTCCCTCAGGACAGCTGCTGATTTTTATCCTTTTAGCCCCTGCTCTTAATATATTACCTGGCACTTAGTAGGCTGTCATGAAAATGATGGATTAATATTGCATGCTGGGGTTATATATCGTCTGCTATTCTTTATTTGTAGATAAACTTAAAGTCAATTTGGATTCAGAACAAGCAGTGAAAGAAGAAAAAATAGTGGAGCAACCTCCAGTGTCTGTCACTGAACTGAAGCTGGCAGCTCCTGCAGGCCTGAAGAAATCCAGCAGAAAAGCAGAGCTTGTTAGGATGCAGCAGAAAGAGAAAAAAAGGTAGGGAAATTTTGTTGGTTATGGGGAAAGAGAGTCCCTAATGGGGTGAGAAGGTCTGTTCAGGCAGATTGACAGCAGGCAGTTTTCAGCTGAGTACTAAATCCTACTTCATACTTTAGGAATTCAGCTATACAACCAAAACACAGAGGGAAGCTCCGCAGCGTATCTAGTGGAGCAGGAAGGCGCAGTCAGGCGGCTTGGGTGATTCAGGGCTCAAAGTTTTTTTCGTCTTTTCTGTTTTCTTTCTTTTTCTTCTCTTTATTTCTCTCTTTCTTTATTGGACCCCTTTGAAATAAATTGGTTGTCTTTTCTCCCTTCATTTTAAATTTGTGAACATAGCATAAGTATTTCTAATTGTATGTCTGTTTTTCACTTCAAATTGCCAAATGAAGGGTTACTGTTTCCAGTCAAATTTAAGAGAAAAAGTTCTTTGTTTTCTTTTTATATCAATGAGTTTATTTTTCAAGTGGTAAAATGTAATTAGAAAAGAAAATAAAACGCACACAAGCTGTTAAAAATGGATCCAGGAATTTGAGACACTACCTCATAGTTGGTAGAAATTAGTTTGTTGAAAGAAATTCTAAAGAACACTGTCAGCACTGATAGGCCCAGAAAGACTTGACTTTCATGGCAGGGTTAGAGCTACTCTAGTAGAAAACATCAACAAAATAGTGGCATTTTATGGCTAAAGCTCTGTCCAGTGAGCCTCAACTCCTAGGGACACATGATATAGGTGGATTAAAGTGTACCTAAACATGGGTGTAACACACACTGTTCATGGTTATTGCCAAGAATGCATTCAGTAGTTCACTACTAAGTATGGTGTTAAGTGTACAATTGTTGTAGATGCCCTTACCTATACTGAGAAAGTTCTTTTTATTTTAAGTTTGCTGAGAGATTTATCATGAATGGATGTTTTTGTTTTGTTTTGTTTTGTTTTAAGTTTTAAATGTATTTACTTTATTGAATAGTAGAGAGAGAGCTTGTTCACTCTTCAAATGTCCACAACAGCCAGGGTTGGGCGAAGCCAAAGCCAGGAGCCTGGAACTCAATCCAGGTCTCCTATGTGGGTGGCAAAGACTCAAGCACTTGAGCCATCACCTACTACCTCCTAGAGTAAACATTAACAGGAAGCTGAATTGGAAGCAGAACCAGTATGCAAACCCTGGGACTCTGATATGGGATACTGGTGTCAACTGCTGTACCAGATGCCCATGTGCTGAATTTTGAAAGATGGATTTTCTGCATTTAGTGAGATGATCATATGATTTTGTTAATGTGGCGAATTACATTGATTTATTTAAAAATGTTAAATTCACTTCTCTTTTTGGGGATGAACACCACTTGGTCATGATTATTCTCCTTTTGTTGCTGGAGTAGACTTGTTGGTGTTACATTAAAGATTTTTGCCTATGTGGTTATAAAGGCTATAAGTCAGTTATTTCTTTTTTTTTTTTAATTTTTTTTTTTTAATTTATTTGACAGATAAAGTTAGACAGTGAGAGAGAGACACAGAGAGAAAGGTCCTTCTTCCATTGGTTCACCCCCCAAATGGCTGCTACGGCCGGTGCTGTGCTGATCTGAAGCCAGGCCCCAGGTGCTTCCTCCTGGTCTCCCGTGCAGGTGCAGGAGCCCAAGCACTTGGGCCATCCTCCAGTGCCTTCCCAGGCCATAGTAACAGAGAGCTGGACTGGAAGAGGAACAACCGGGACTAGAACCTGGCGCCCATATGGGATGCTGGCGCCACAGGCGAAGGATTAACCAAGTGAGCCATGGCGCTGGCCTCTGGTCAGTTATTTCTGATAATGTCTTTGATAAGTTTTATTATCAAAATTGTAGAAACATTAATTGGGAGGAAGCTTTTGTTTTCTTAAGGAGTTTGTGTTAGATATATTAACATTTTTTAAAAGATTTATGTATTTATTTTAAAGTCAGAAACGCAGAGGAAGAAACAGAGAGAAATCTTCCATCTGCTGGTTCACTCCCAAAATGGCCCCAGTAGCTGGGTCTAGGCCTTAGCCTGGAGCTTCTTCTAGGTCTCTCCTGTATTCAGGGGCCCAAGAATGTAGGCCATCTTCTGCTGCTTTCACACGCACATCAGCAGGAAGCTGGATAAGAAGTGGATGAGCTGGGCCCTGAACCGATGCCCGTATGGGACATCTGTATCACAGGTGGTGGCTTTACCCACCATGCTACAACACTGGCCCAATATATTTCTTTAAAAAAACAAGACAAAGAGCCAGCACTATGGTGTAGCGGATAAAGCCACCACCTGCAGTGCCAGCATCCCATATGGACACCAGTTCGAGTCCCAGCTGCTCCACTTCCAATCCAGCTCTCTGCTATGGCCTAGGAAAGCAGTAGAAGATGGCCCAAGTCCTTGGGCTCCTGCACCTGTATGGGAGATCCGGAAGAAGCTCCTGGCTCCTGGCTTCAGATCTGTGCAGCTCTGGCCGTTGCAGCCATCTGGGGAGTGAACCATCAGATAGAAGACCTTTCTCTTTCTCTCTGCCTCTTCTTCTCACTCTATGTAACTCTGACTTTCAATAAATAAATAAATCTCATAATAAAAAAGAAAAATCTGAGCCTGAATATCTTTTTTTTTAGAAAGATATTTTTATTGTAAATTTGATTCAAATTTTTTAGTTCTTCTTGGATCAATTTTGACTTAGTTGTATTTTTAAATAAATTTGTCTATTTCTCAAAGTTACTTAGTTTATTGACATAAAGTTCATAAAATAGCCTTATTTGAGTATCTAAAGAATCTAGAATTTATGGGAATTTCAAACTAAATGTTTTTCAAATTTAATATATATTATATAACAGAATCACTACAGATTCTTTCATTATTTCATTCTCAATTGTTAGTGTTTTCCTTTTTTATATATATATATATATTTTTTTTTTTTTTGACAGAGTGGACATTGAGAGAGAGAGGCAGTGAGAAAGGTCTTCTTTTACCGTTGGTTCACCCTCCAATGGTTGCTGCGGCCAGCGCACTGCGCTGATCCAAAGCCAGGAGCCAGGTCCTTCTCCTGGTCTCCCATGCGGGTGCCGGGCCCAAGGACTTGGGCCATCTTCCACTGCACTCCCGGGCCATAGCAGAGAGCTGGACTGGAAGAGGGGCAACCGGGACTAGAACCCTGTGTGCTGGCGCCGCAAGGTGGAGGATTAGCCTATTGAGCCGCGGCGCCAGCCTTTCCTTTTTAAAATGGGTTTTGTAAGAGCCTTATTTTATTAGACTTTGCCCAAAAAGTAACAACTTTTGGCTTTGTTAAGCTTCTCTATTTTCTGTTTCATTGATCTCTGCTCTTTATTATTTCCTTTTACTTACTTTGCATTTAATTTTTTGTTTTTTAGTTCTAGGTAGAAAGAAAAGTTGATGCTAAACTTTAGATAAGACATTGTTATTTGATATACAAAGACTATGTCTTGTATGTATTTGTGTTTCTGACATACAGTAGGCCATTGATAAATTATTTGTTGATTGAATGACTTGTATGGTGGAGTATCCATCCAGAGGAAGTAAATATTGTCACAGTGATGTCTGGGCCTTTTATTATAATCACCTTAAAGTCTTATTTTTATGCCATTGCTTATATTGTGTTTCTCTTTCAAATATTTGTCTCCTGGAGTGAGCATTTAGCCTAGTGGTTGAAATGCAAGTTGAGATGCCTCATCCTATATTGGGGAACTTATATTTGATACCCTGTTCAAGCTCCTGACTCCAGCTTGCTGCTAAGATAGATCGTAGGTTGATGGTTCAAGTGTTTGGGTCCCTGCCACTGTCACGAGAGACTTGGTTTGAGTTCCCATCTCCTGACTTGGCCTGTTCCGTTTCTGACCATTGCAGATGTTTGAGGGTGAACCAGCAGAAAGGATCTCTCTGCTTTTCAGATGAACAAAAATTTTAAAAATAAAGTATTTGTTTCCCCTTTCTACCTGGTGAACTTCTATTCTACCTGACTTTTTAAAGTTCCTAAGAAAAATCATGTCCCCAAACACCTCACTTGTCCAGTAAAATTTATCACATTGTATTATAGCTAATGATGTTTTCCAGAGCTTCATGAGAACAGTATTTCCTGCTTGATCTTTGCATCTCAATGTTTAGTGAATAGCCTTATAGGTAGATAATAGTTGTCTTAACATTTGCTAAATGATTGAAGGGCCAATTGGGAAAATAAAAAGGAATTAGGAAAGATTCTTAATAACTTGATTATAACTTCCTGTGGTCAATAGAGAACTGGAAGAATATTTTACTCTGACCACACTATGAAGTGACCTTCTTGTGATCAGTTAGCAGAGTGTTCTTAAAACAAATTCTTACTGGTCTACTTTGTTCTTTTCTACCCTGTGGAATTAAGACTGTGAGTTATGAAACTAGAGCTATATGAGCACTGCTTCCATTTTTGTTCTGTGTAACAGGCTTAATTTATTCCTGAATGGCAACAGGGGGAAGCGAGTAGATTTATCTGATGATGAGACAAAGGAAACTGAAAACATGAAGAAAAAGAGGAGAAGAATCAAACTTCCTGACTCTGATAGCAGTGAAGATGAAGGTGGGTAATGCTATTAGTTTTTAACCACAAGGATCATTTCTTACCATGATGTACAAGAAGCTAAAAAAATTAATCTGAGTTACAATGAGAAGAGGAATTCTAGCACTGAGACACATTGCACCTGTTTCTGTTTGAAGTCTATTTTAGCTTTTTGACCAGAACCATGATCTGGTAATTTGCCAAAACAATGGACACATAGGGAAAGAAGATAAAGATTATTATTACATATGATATCTGAAACATTTTCTTTTTTTGAAAGGGATATTCCTTTGGATACTTTTTTTTAACTCTTTTTAACAATTGTGACATTCTAGGCATCAAAGGTGGTGGTGGTGGTGGTGGTGATCATACAGATAAAACGAACATTTTGTTTTTTGAAAAACAGTTGTTGAAAGGGAATGATGCTCTGAACCCTTCCAGTTGTAGTCTCTGGGAAATGGAAATTAAGAAAATGAAATAAGGGCAAGAGTCTCACCAAGAAAATTAATATGCTTTTTAAAAGAATATTAAGTATTCTTAATAGCCAAGATAGCTTCCCAAATCATGTGAAGGAAGTACATGAAACGAGAAAGAAGCTAATGAGAAAGATGCCTGGGCTGGATTGATAAGCCGGGTGATTACACTGGAAAGTCTTTTTTGAGAACCTGTGGTGAAAAGCTTGAGCTGCTGTAATCAATTCTGCATAAGTTGGCCTAATGAGTATAAAACAGTTTAGGTTGTAGGTGGAAATCTAGTCCAGAGGAATTCAGCAACACACGGAAGGATCATAGGGAAATATAAACTAAATCTCAAAGAGGATAAAGAATAATGGGGTCTTAATCAAGTCCTTACCTTGGCCAGCTACAGATGTGGGACGAGCTACACCTGCTTTTCACATTCTGGTGGTTCCACTCTGCTGTGTCTGGCAGGATGGCCCACATGCAGGTCGGTCTACTACTTGGACAAACACTTTGAGGAACACAATGAGCATCAGCCTATAGTGTTACTCAGAGATCTTTCCAAACAAGTACCAAAAACGCATCTGGTGTCTGAAGAGGAGCAGAGGAGACAGTGTCCTCCAGCAGAGTCTAGGCTGAGCTCATTATGTGATAATCAGAACCATACATTCTTTAGATGACTTCTTCTGAAAGATCAACAAAAATGAAATATTTATGGGATTTCAAACTAAATCTTTTTCAAATTTAATATTTGAATAAATTATATAATATATATTCAAATATAATGTATAAGGTAGCATTCAGAGAATATTTGAAAAGTGTCCAAATCATTTGTCCATACCTGTCCATTAGCTATTTCTTCATAGCAATAGAGCTCAGTTAAATGGAGCTGCAAGTAGATTTACTATAAAGTATTTAAGATAAAATTTCTTCATTAGTTTTTCTCTTAATGTAAATGCCTGTTTGACTTTACCTGTTACTTTTGTTAAATAAAGTTTGTGTGAACATACTTCACAAAGTTTCTGGAAAATGGAATTCAAAGTTTATTTTGGTGCCAAAAATTTGAAATCTATATGCATGAGGGGTCTTCAAAAAGTTTATGGAAAAATGCATATCATAAAAAAGCTATGCATGGATTTCAGAAAGTTTGGCACCAAAATAAGCTTATCTTTTAATTCAATTTTTCACAAACCTTTCGAATTACCCTTGTATGTTGCATTAAAAAAAAAAAAAAGCAGATATTGTAGTGCAGTGGATTAAGCTGTTGCTTGGGAGGCCCACATGCATGCATTTCAAATCCTATATCCACTTCCAATCCAGCTTCCTGCCAATGTGCCTGGGAGGCAGCAGGTGCTCTCTCAAGGACTTGAGGCCCTGCTAGCCATGTGGAAGGCCTGGATGGTGTTCTTGGCTCTGGGCTTTGGTCTGCTGCTGCCTTGGCTTATGGGTATTTGGGGAATAAACTAGCCTATGAAATATCTCTCCCTCTCTTTATCACTCTGCCTTTCAAATAAATAAATCTTTTTTGTTGCTCTTGATTTAAAAAAAAAAAAAGATTGATTTATTTACTTGAGAGGCATAGTTACAGACAGAGAGGTCTTCCATCCACTGGTTCACTCCCCAAATGGCCACAACAGCCAGGGCTAGGCCAGGCCGAAGCCAAGAGCCAGGAACTTCATCTGGATCTCCCATCTTTTTTTTTTAATGGAATGAATGCAAAAAAGGAACCTGCTATGCTGAAAGAAGAAAACTAAGTAAGACTTTACTCTTAACAGAAACTGCAAGAAAAACTGGAAGTAGTGGGATTGGCATTGTGGTGTAGCGAATAAAGCTGCTGCCTAGAACACCGCCGTCCCATATAGGTGTCTGTCCTGGCTTCTCCACTTCTTGTCTAGCTCCCTGCTGGATGGCTGAGTGCTTGGGCCCCTACTACCCAAGGGGGAGACTCGGAAGAAGTTCCTAGCTTTGGCCTGGTCAGCCCTGGCCATGTGGCCACTTGGGGAATGAACCAGCAGAAAGAGGATCTCTCTTTCTCACTTTCCCTCTCTCTCTGACTCTGACTTTCAGATTAAAAAAAAATCAACAGAAAGAACTGAAAGTGGTAACAGAGACTCCTCCAAAAGGATATTAGGTTAACAAATGAGTGAAAAGAGATTATATATGTAGATGACAGTAATACAAAAGAAATAAACAATCCTAAGAAACATACCTAGAAGTTGAAGCTCTGTGTGATAGAAATACCATCTTTGAGTCTCTGGATTTTGTCCTACCATTCGTGCTTACTTGTTAAGGATTGCAGTCTCTGATATACTGTGAGGGGCATAGTGCCCTTTTAGGTGTGGCTTTTAATAGCTATTTGGAATGTGTTGGGGTAGGACATTATAAGCATTCCAGAGTGGCGGTTGCTATATTTTCATTCCATGTCGTTTATCAAAATGCTTTGACCAAGGCTACTGAAAGGAAGAATTTCAAAGGTGTCAATGAAATAAGCCATCAGGGAGCATTTCTAGAAATGGAGGAACTATAGACAATTCCATACAGATGCATGGGAAAATAATTAGGAAATAAATTTAGGAATATATGCTAATTAGAACAGGCTTCCCTATTTCCAGTCAGGACAAGGACTTGGGAAAGATTCTGGAAAAGTCTGAAGCCATCAGCCAATGTAATTTAAAAAGGTAAAACTATAGGCCAGTGCTGTGGTGTAGTAGGTTAAGCTGCTGTCTGCAATGCCGGCATCCCATATGGGTACTGGTTTGTGTCCTGGCTGCTCCACTTGCGATCCAGCTCCCTGCTAATGCATCTGGGAAGACAGTGGAGGATGGTCCAAGTGCTTAGGCCCCTATACTCATGTGGGAGACTTGGAAGAAACTCCTGGCTCTTGGCTTCAGCCTGGCCCAGCCTTGGCCTTTATAGCCATTGGGAGTGAACCAGTGGGTAGAAGTTTCTCTCTCTCTTTCCCTCTCTCAATTCTGACTTTATAATATAACAATAATAATAATAATAAAAGATAAAACTGGATGTCCTAGTATTAGTGCAGAAGTCAGCTATAAGTCAAGGAATTACTGTGGTTGGTGGAGCACTCATTATGTACTTCTGAAATATTCTCTGTAATTCTAATCTGCACTCCACAAAAGTAATACCCGAGGTGATTAGATTGAGTGAAGTTATTTAGTTTGGAAGGAGTGTGAAGAAATGTGAGAGAGGTGCATATCCTGAAAGAATGCATGATACAGAGTAGAGGCTCTTGGGGTTCTTCCCTCTGAAAGATAATTTTTGACATCTGACTAAATGTAAACCTTTCTACCATTTTATTCTTTTTTTTTTTTAAAACAATTATTTGAAAGAGTTACACACAGAGAGAAGCAGAGGTAGAAAGAGAGAGAGAGAAAGAGGGGTCTTCCATTCCGCTGGTTCACTCCCCAAATGACCACAGCAGCCAGAGCTGAGCTGATCTGAAACCAGGAGCCTGGAGCTTCTTCCAGGTCCCCACATGGGTGCAGGGGCCCAAGGAGTTGGGCCACCTTCAACTGCTATCCCAGGCCATAGCAGAGAGTGAATCAGAAGAGGAGTAGCCAGGGTTCGAACTGGTGCCCATATGGGATGCCAGCGCTGTAGGCTGGGGCTTTAACCCACTGTGCCACAGCGCCGGCCCCTGCCATTTTATTCTTAAATGTCTTCTTTCCTCCCATCCAGTGGAGTTGTAACTTAACTCTTTATACAGTCTCTAAGTTACTGTGTTCTTTCATTTTTTTTAAATATTTATTTGAAAGGCAGAGTTACAGAGACTTTGTCTTTAGCTCTCATCATGTTAGCCTCCCAGAGCTGGGTTAATAGCTGGACCACTTTCCTTTTTATGTTTGTCTCTTGTTTCCCAGAGCTTATAAAGTCCTGGGGCCCATTTCATTCTTGAAGTGTATAATTTATTGTTTTGTTCTGGTTTTGTTCTTCACCTCTTTGGGTCATTTGGCCTTCAACCCTCCAGTGTCATAACTTTTAACACTGATCTAATCAGTTGGGAGAATTTCAGATCCAAGACTTGTGCTAAGAATTTGAATATAGCCAGGCGGTTTGGGGAGCAGGTGAGGCTAGGCAGTCACCCAGTCCCTCAATCAGCAATTTCTTTGTGGTGATTAAGCAGTAGGTCAGCTGAGGGTATTTTTATGTCCCCTCTCCTGGGCCTACTTCCAAGACCGCTGCTCTGGGGCTGTTGAGAACTGATGGGATGTCTCTGGTAACACTGTTGTCTCAGGTGGTGCCACTTCCATAGCAATCTGAGTTCCTTCTGTCAATCTCAGTGTAGTAGCACAAGCCTCATCAGGGAGCAGTTACATCACTAGAAATAGTGCCATACAAAATTTAAAGCAGAATGTAATTATTGGAGCTGTAATTGTGACAGTTTCAAAGATGCTTCCCCTACTGCCTCAAAGTTTATGCTCTTACCATCACCTAGAAATTTTTAGTGGAACAAGCATCTCAGGTTATTATGAGTAGTCAGATCACAGTCACAGCATCTCTGGCCTGGGGCATGTGCTGTAGTCTGAGGATTAACTCCACATCCTAAATTTTGAAAGAAAATACCTGGTCCATGAATAGCAAGGCAGCAGGGGACAGTTGGATTAGGCTGACTGACATGGGTTTAAAACCTGTCTCATCAAGTTAAGGAACCTCTCTGAGCCTCTATTTACTCGCTGTAAGTGTGAATAATATCTGCTTCTTGGGGCTGTGGTGAGGATAATGTGAAATACATGACAAGTAGTATGTGATCACTGGACATTTATAAACCAGCTGCATGCCCTTAGCTGTAAAATGTTTAGCTAAGATGATCTCTCAGGTGCTTCCAGCTCTAATAATTCTTGATTCTCAGATTTTATTTGTATAAGCTTAATAAAATGTGCATCTTAAAAATTACTATATAACCGTAAAGCTTTGGTTGGCAAACATTACTGCTTCCAATTGCTGTATGCTGGACATGGAAATCTGGAGATGCCAGTAGAGAGGGCTTTGTACCAGTTCATTCCTGTAGTTCTCTTATCTAAGCTTGTCTCATTATTTCAGTCTGCCCAGACTCTCCTGGGGCTTATGAAGCTGAGTCACTGTCCCCACCTCCACCTGGGTCTCCACCTCCTGAGTCAGTGCCGAAGACTGACCCCGAGCTTCCTCCTATCAAGGTAAAACAGTCCGAGGACACTGCACTTCCACATGTCCTTTATCTCCCCAGTGCTGCATTCAACTGCGCTAAGTCAGTTCACTTGCTGTATACTGCACAAATGCCAGTAGATGGCTCTTGTCTCATTCTGCTCTCCTCCAGACTGTACAGAATGGCTACTCCCCTCCTTCTCACCTAAATGGAGATTCTTGTCCTAGGGCATAGTATCAGGAAGCTTTGCAGAGGTGGATCCCTCAGCTGTTCTGTTTTGTTTTTGTGACCTTTGATTTCAGGGCTATTGTGCTACATGGTTCCTGTTGGAATTGTGCAAAAAGAAGTCCTGCTTGCATCAAAGCAAAATGTGAAAGATAGAGGGGAATAATCAAGCCATGCACATTTGTGGCGCTTCAGAAGGCTTTCTGGTAAAGCACTGGGTGACAGAAGCTGGCCACATGGGGAAACTCGAGCAGAGTATTTTAAATGACCTTCAGCTGCGTCTTGTCTGCTCTGTCAGTGCACATAATGAGTTGAGAGCATGGATGCTTACAAGGCTCTGTGTGTGTATGTGTGCTGGTCGGTCGCTGTGAGTTTTCCTTAGTTCATTATGTTAAGCCTGTCATTTTTTAATCTTGCACTCATTTCCTCATTAGCCAGAGAAAATGAGATGAAAGGAAATCGGTGTTAGTTACTGTTTGAGACTAGAGTAGATGAGTCAGTATCATTGTTGACATAACAGGTGTCTGCAGCAAGAAGTCCCTAATCTGGTTCAGAGATGCTCTCATAATACCTGCCTGAGTTCTCCTTGAAAGCCCTTACCACAGTGCATTGCTCATCTTTTTAACCACGCTGCTTGCACCTTCCAACAGGTGATTGTTGACTGAATAAACACTGTTCTTCCCTCAGCATGCCACTTACCTTCTCATAGACCATGAACCAGCCAGCTTGTACATGCAGTGAGCGTAACTTGTCTGTGTGGCAGGGTTTGTCCCCTGAAAGTAATGCATAAGCTTCCTCTTTGTACGTTTTTATCAGAATAGTAGGAGGTGATTCTTGCAGACTAAATATCTTTTGTCATTTTCTCTGCAGCTTCAATGGTTAACATTGTATTCTCTGATCTTCCTCTAGAGCTCAACTGGAGAAAACAGAAGAAAACGAAAGCGTGTATTGAAATCTAAAACCTTTTTGGATGCGGAAGGCTGCATGGGTAAGATGAATTTTTGGCCCTGACTCCAGAGAGTTGTTACCACAGGGAGCCATCATAATCCCCTATGGAGCAGTAGCTCTCAGACTTGAATGTGCATATGAATCACCTGCATGGTGCTGATGCTGCTTGTCTGTGGGCCTTGCTTGGAATACTGAGTGTTGGGAGGGCTGCAATAAAATCAGGACACCTGGGTTCTTGTTTGGGCCATAACACTATAAAAATAACCACTAAAATCTTGGCCAGAAGTCATGTCTCTCTGGTGCAGAGTTTGTTATCTATGGAGCAGAGGTGAAATTTTCCTTTTGCCTAAATGTGGGCTTATGAAGATTCAGGTGAGGTCATAGTTGTGAAAACACCTTGAATGTGGAAACCACAGTGTGAACATAGGATGCTGTTATCACAGATGTTGAGAAACATTTCTTTTATTAGAAGAGTTGTATCAATGTAAACAGTGGAAAGAAGCCCTTCTGATGATTAGACTCTGAAGAGAGTATCTGGAGTGTTTAGTATTTGAGTATTTGGTCCCATTTTTAATCCAGAGGGAGATGACTCACCCAGACTGCTTCCTCTAGATTTCCTATTTATAAGCCAAGTTAGGTAAAAGCATGTGCTCATAATGAAGGTCAAGAGGGCAGTTAGAATTCAGGCTTTGTATTGGCTAATTCCTCAGCCATGTTTTAGTTCTACCCTTGCCACAATCAAACCAGACTTCAGTGGGGCTCTTAGAATTTAGCTCTTGAGGCTTGATAGAATTCTCAGATGCCAGTACTGTATTTTTTGTGTTTGGAAAGAGTTATGGGCTTAGGCTCTCAAATCTCTTACTTGTGGAGTAGCCCATAATCTTTGTTTCTTCATGCTGGTGGCACCTGCCATACCTTGGATCTGCTAGAGGAGATCCATGCCCCCTTTCTTGATTTTACCTTTCCAGTTCAAATTTCTAGCTAGAAATGTTGGCTGTGAAAAATCAGCTTTTGCTAGACAATGTGCTGGTGAAAACTTGCAGAAACATTCTGTGGGTTTTGTGTCCATTTCCCTTACTCTCCACTCCTCTGAAAGGGCCTCTGCCATTTTCACTGTACCATGTAACTGGGGAATGAAGTCCCTCACATGTGGAAATGCTGCCTTTCAGTGCGAAAGTTCTTGTGAGCCTGTGAGTTTTGAACTTTGATTTTTGCTTTGTTTTGTTTTCCATCTCCTAATAGTTCATTTTCAAGCCTCTTGGTTTGGCCACTGATGGTAACATATGTATTTACTGTTGAATTTATTTATTTTTCTTTTGAATTTGAGGACAAAAAAGTGGCCAGTTTTTTCCTCTTCCTCCTCCCCTACCTTCCCTACTCTGCTAAAGTCAGATATATGTTTGAGAGGGTTCATTGGGGATTTGTTACTAATTACTTACTGCTTTGTTCAAAACATGGTACTTAAGTTTTGGCCAGGTGTGGGATGGGGACTTTTTTGCACTCCTGTCTCCAGACAGGACTATTAGAACCTTGGATGCAACAATGAAAACTGCTCACATAGCACTTTTTTTTTTTTTTTTTTTAAGGTTTTTTGGTCCAAGCTCAACCTAATGAATCTTGGCTCTGGTTACCAACAAAGGGGTTCTGCTTTCCTCTCTGCTCACACAGTTCCAAATGTGCCAGCACAGTGACTTGCCCTGTCCTGTGCTGGATCAGATTTGTTCTGTGGATTCAAAACGCTGGTCTTTCCATTCCTGTGAGTTTGCCACAGGAACTAAGGAGTTGTGCCCCTGAGATAAGTTCGGGGTGTAAGAGCAAAACAGTTGTTTGGAAAAGAAATCAGATGTTACCCTAGCAAATCAGGCTTTTTTAAATGAAAGCCAGAAAGGTGGCATGTTGTTCAGTTAAAGTAAAGATTCTGCATTTTTAAGTTGAATTCTTTATCCTGTAGCTTGAAGTAGCTACAGCTTTGAATATTGGAATGCTCCTTTTAGCACTTAAGGTATACAGAATACATTGCTTAAAAAAATTTGTTGGTGCTGTCTTGACTGGTTTTTACTCCTCCCAAGCAATGTATTGCACAAAGTTGGCAATAAGACAGCTAGTTGTTTCATTGATAAGTAATGAAATGAGTTAATTGATGTTGAAGTATAATATTATAGACATACTGTCATTTGAATACAGATTATAGCTTACAAAGAAGCAGTTTTACATCACCAACTAGTGATATATATCTACAGCAGACTCTTCAGGCTTTCTTAATTTAAGGTATTGAATAAATAACAGCTTATAATTTTGGGCCATTAGTCCAGCTACACGGTGCTTTGGAATATGCCTGTGATGGTGTCATAATTGCTGAACTAAGAGTTATGTCATGGAAATTCCCTAAGTGTTTCCCAAACTTTGCTGACCATGCGTATTAGTTGAAAATTTTTCTAAAATTGAAATTCTAGAGGCCAGTGCTGTGGCGTGGTAGGCTAAGCCTCCACCCATGGCACCGGCATTCCATATGATGCCAGTTCGTGTCCCAGCTATTCCACTTCCAATCTAGTTCTCTGCTTATGGCCTGGGAAAGCAGTGGAAGATGGCCCAAATGCCTGGGCCCCTGCACCCACGTAGGAGACCCAGAAGAAGACACTCCTGCTCCTGGCTTCAGATCGGCCCAATTCTGGCCATTGCAGCCATTCGAGGAGCAAACCAGCGGATGGAAGACCTTTCTCTCTGTCTCTCCCTCTCTCTGTCTATAACTCTGCCTCTCAAATCAATAAATCAAATCTTTAAAAAAAAAAAAAAAGGAAAAAAGTTCTGGTTCAATAGGCCAGTTAGACCTGAGATTCTACTTTTTATTATTATTAAGATTTTAAATTATTAAGATTTATTTATTTATTTGAAAGGCAGAGGCACAGAGAGAGGAAGAGACAGATCTGCCACCCACTGGTTCACTCCCTGAATGGCTGCAACTGCTGGAGTTAGGTCAATCCGAAGCAGGAGCCAGGAGTTTCCTCCAGGTCTCCCATGTGGGTGCAGGGGCCCAAGTACTTGGGCCGTATCCTGCTGCTTTCTCAGGCACATTAGCAGGGTGCTGGATCAGAAGTGGGGCAGCCAGGACTAGAACAGGCACCCATATGTGATATACTGGTGCCACAGGCAGTGACTTCACCACTATGCTATAGCACGGGCCCCCAAGATTCTGCATTTCTAATAAGCTCACAGAAGACTAACCCTTCAGGTCTGTGGAATTCTTCTACAACATTTAATATTTATTGAAAGCTTATGGGTAGTTTTTGTCCACTAAGTGACATTAAAATGAATTCTAGGCTCTAAAAAATAAAGACAGATTCTAGGAACTGTTGGGGAAGGGATTGTTTCTTATGCAGCCCTAATGAAATTAGATGTTCCAGTGGTTAATAGGCTGTTGACTTCCTCCACTCCCCACCATGGTCTATTGTGAGGGGAAATTAAGGTAAATCAATATTGAAAATCACTTGCCAAAGACTGGTAGGTGCATCTGCATATTCTGTGAGGTGCTGTTATCTTCATTGTAACAGAGGAAGAAAGAATAGTGTTCTTTGGTAAGAAAAAAATACCTTCCACTCTAATGATTTGAGCATTCATTATGCCTATTAGGTTACTTTCTTCACCTAAGCAAAGATGTTTTCCTTCATTATTTCTCCATCACTTCCTGCAGCCAGAAAGGCTGAGAGGGAATTTAGATGGCGTTGCTTATACATATCAGCTGCTGCAGCTCTCACAGGAAGGTGGCCTTGTACTTTGTGTTGTGGTTGGTGTATGTACTGCAGTGTATTAGAAGAGACCCCCATCAGTTCTGTGATATGGTGGGAAGTCACTCTCTACCTGTGCCCTTTGGGGCTTGCTCATTGGTGTAGTCCTTTCCCAAGTGTCCCTGGGGAAGTGTTTGGGGGATTTTAATGGCAGGGAACAAGGCAAATTCTGCCTTTGGATGGTAAGGGAGTAAGAGAACTGATAACATTTCTCATTTTATCCTTGTCTTCCTTTATATTATCAAGTGTGTCATCTTACAGAATTTGGGGCATTTACCTTCTTGATATTGACTACTACTAAATCTCGGATTAATTAGCACTCATTCAGAACTCAGCAGTTGATTAATCTGATTTTCTGTTATTAGTGTGTTCAGCATGGGTGACATCAGGATTGAGCTAGCCAGGAGGATCTAGGGTGGTGAGCCTGGCTAGACAGAAGGGGGCCGGTGAATAGACCAGAGATTTAAGACCAGGAAAGCCAGCAGTGGAAATAGACAGGCACTGTGGGTCAGGGACCTGAGACTCAAGAGGTCAGAGTATGAAGTCATAAGTGAGTGTTGAGATGACAGTTCATTTCTAGAGCTCAGGAAGTTAGCTTATACACTAGGACCCAAATAAGAATTTGGGCTATTAAATAATAAAGGCTCACTTAAAGGTGTGGGACATACCTTTAATACCAGTGGAGGAGGAAGGTTGAATGTTAACTCTGAGCCTGATGTGGAGGATGTGTGAGTTCAGTGGCATACCTGTCTTGAACAGTGATTGGAGTTAGCAAGATACTGCCTTCTCTTGATAGAGTAAATGACTCAACCTACACATGTCCCATTGTTTTCCTCGTTCTGCCAGTGACTGAAAAAGTCTACGAGAGTGAATCCTGCACAGATAGTGAAGAGGAGCTTACGATGAAGACAGCCTCTGTACACAGGCCCCCTGCCATGACTGTGAAAAAAGAACCCAAAGAGGAACGAAAAGGCCCCAAGAAAGGGACTGCTGCTCTGGGCAAAGCCAACAGGCAAGTGTCCATCACTGGCTTCTTCCAGAGGAAATAACCTGCATTTCTGGAAGGCCAGAAACTTGGAGTGGTCAAGGGAAGAGACCAGGAAGAACCAGCTCTCTCGCTTACTGTGTAAGTGCAGCCACCTCCTCACCTCACCTGAATCAAGACTGTACTTCATCCTGTGAGGTTTATACTACTTCTGGTTTTTAACCAAAAGAAATCACCTAGAAGCAGGAGGCAAAAGATTTAAAAAGCTGTTACCTTCAATGCCATAAGCACAACTTTGACCTGCCAGAAGAACTCATTTCAAAGCTGAATTGGAGCAGGTTTCAGCATTACCACTGAGGCCACGCAGTGACCAGTTCACTGTCCTACTCATCCTGTGTGCTGGACCTGCTCACGGCTCAGAATGTATTCCTGCTTGTTCCTTTGTGTTCTGTGAACTTGTGTGGGTGTTTTTTACCCCTCACTTCTACCAGATGCGTCTACCATTTCCCCATCCTCCTCTCCCCGCTACTGCACTTCTGTCCCCTGTCCCCATGAAGCTGTTTATCTTTTCGTTCTTGGACTAAAGACTGACAGAAAATCTCCTCATAGTCCTCTTTCTCCGTTGTACAGCACACAGACACCTGACTACACCCCGGCAAGTGGCTTGTGTTCTACTTTCGCCCACAGTTAGTGTTAGGGAGAAGCCTTAAGCAGAACAGAAATGGCAATTTATTGATGTATTCGGCTCCACAGAAGTGAAGGTCTAGGGGAGCTGTCACATTGCTGACCCAGGCTGTGCTTTACCCTGCGCTGTGTGGCTTGTTGCTCCCCATCCCCCCTCTTGGTACCAAGAGTGAGACCATTCATTGAGAAACCCTTCCTACATAGAGCGCACAGTGGCTGAGACATTTCTCCCTCTCCAGGAAGTGGAATGTACAGAAACAGCAGCTTCCCAGGAAGTTAGTAGGGAAGATAAGGTGCATGTTTAAACAGAAGTGTTGCCCCTTTGTATTTTCATCTACCCCATTTGCTTGCAAGTTCCAGCTCCCCAAGAGAAGACGGAGGGAGATACTGAGTTGTGACAGGGTCTAAACAGGAAACAAAACATTTTTGGCTGTTTTTGTGGAAAGCCACCTATCAGTAACTTACAAGAGATTTCCATTGTGGCAGGCTTGGTGGTGAGCTGCGTGCATTGAGCCGGAGTGGTGGTGGTCTTGCACAGGGAGCTCTGGGGAAGGAGCACAGGCTCGACTGCCCGTGTGACTCACCCGTAGCAGACAGCGATGTCTGACCTGCCCCCCGCCCTCGGTCTGGTGTATGTCGTAAGTGACGCAGTCTGCTGTGCGCTGCTTAAGGTTAGCATTGCGACTGACCTTGGGATTAACGCGGGCTTCTTTAGCAATCAAGCGTGGACTTGATTAAGACCAGAGGCTGGGAGATGAGTCCTGGCGTCATGTCCAGGACTTGCGAAGGCAGACGCTTTTTATATAGTAAGCTGAGTAAAGGTTGACGTGTTCCAAGATGCTTTCTTTTTTAAATGAAAAGGGATGGAGACAAGGATGGAAAGCCTGGACTTAAAGCTCGACAAAAAAAAATAAAACTTCTGGAAAGGAATCCCTTTTAAATGGTTATTTTTGTCATTGCCTCTAGTCACTTTTCAAAATAGGAATGGAAAATTAAAGAAAAAGCAACAACCTAGTCTCTCTCTTTTTCTAATTATTGTGCTGGGATCTCTAATAAAACTGAATTTGAATTGGAAAAATCTGGTGCTGGTTGGAGTTCCATATTTCAAGGGATAATGCAAATTCTCTGATCTCTGCCCAGTGTGCTGCCTAAATGCTCAGCTGTCTGTCAAGCTTACCAAGTTTGGAATCGTGGCCTTCTTTCTTTTTATGCCATATTCTCCCATGTTAAGTAAATTTGAGAAGTTGTTTTAAAACAGGGCTTCTGCTGGATGTCTAGTGAATCTGTTACCTGACAGCATGGCAGCGGTGTGTACAATCGTGTAAACTGTGAGCAGGAACAAGGCTGGTTTTCAGTTTCTGTTAACACTGCATACCCATAGTCTGAGATGGATAAGTTATTTGCTGCCTTCATCATTTTTTCAGCCCTGTGGGAAATCTTAGTTTCAGCCAACCTCATTTTTTAGCTCATTTAGAAGAAAATTTCATCCTGAGCTTGCACATCATGTTAGTTTGGCTTCATCACTTGCTAGCCTCGGCTTGGGCAAATTTCTGACTCACAAGTTCTTTATCAAAGAGGAGTAAAATGAGTTTCCATGGGTATCAAGTCTGAAGTCATGTGGAGTAACTGTCCGTAGTGGCAGGGACATCATCTCGTACGTCTTAAAAGATTTGAAACAGAGCCAGTGCCGCGGCTCAATAGGCTAATCCTCCGCCTTGCGGCGCCGGCACACCAGGTTCTAGTCCCGGTCGGGGCGCCGGATTCTGTCCTGGTTGCCCCTCTTCCAGGCCAGCTCTCTGCTGTGGCCCGGGAAGGCAGTGGAGGATGGCCCAAGTGCTTGGGCCCTGCACCCCATGGGAGACCAGGAGAAGCACCTGGCTCCTGCCATCGGATCAGCACGGTGCGCCAGCCGTGGCGGCCATTGGAGGGTGAACCAACGACAAAGGAAGACCTTTCTGTCTCTCTCTCTCACTGTCCACTCTGCCTGTCAAAAAAAAAGAAAGAAAAGATTTGAAACAGAGTGGATATTTTCCTGTGAAAAGAAAATGAGATTTATAGAGGGCTATATTCATTGTTCAGTAAAACGTTCATTTTTTTATGTTCATGTGTCAGGTCTTTGACCTGGGCACTGGAGGATATATATCATGGAAACTGAGGAAGGTGGCACTTGTCCTCAGGATCTAATGGAATAGACCAGCCAATAAAGTCAGGTAGGGGTGTAGTGACAGCACAAGGTCCTCCAAGAGTCTATAGGAGGGTGGGTGTTGAGGCTGTCTCCTGGAGGAGGGGAAAGCAAGCAGTTGTTTGAATGATGACCAGGGTTTCACCAGGCAAAGCAGGATGGAAAGGATTTCCAGGCAGAGAAGCGTGGCTTTGGGGGGTGTGGGTAGGGAGGAGTTGGGCTGTCTGAGACTAGGGAGCAAAATGTATTGAGAAATAAAGCTATGATCTTGCTAAGGAGTTTGGGTTTTAGCTGCAGATAATGGGGACCAACTGGAGAATATTAAGAGTAATGTTATAAGTTGATTCTCTGTTAAGCATGACAGCTGGCATTTATTTTGATTTTGTATGCCACAATAGTACTTGTACCCATGTGTGCATATTGTATCTTAGTTGTAACACTGTTTAATGTTGGCAGTCGGCAGAGTTCATTTGCACTTTCTCTTCTCTGCCCCTATCAACATGGATTTATTTAGCAGAATCAGTTTTTCAAAAGTGATTTTTAAAAGCTAGTAGATCTCTGACCCTCTCAGTGATGGGAGCCTCCACTCAGCTCCCTGAAAAAAAAAAAAAAATTGAGGGAACGCGGGGGTGAGTGGAGCAGTTCTATTCCTTTTCTATCTTTGTTTCTTTAAGAAGACATTAGTTATTATACAGGGGAGAGCTGAAGAGAAGGGCCATATAAGGAAACTAAATAGTTTCTCCAGGACATGAGTAGAATGAGTGCCTAATAATGTGTTTGCCAGAAACGTACTCTGTGTCAAGACTCGTTTTGGTAAACTCGTCTTCTTTCATTGGTTCCGGGATCTCAGAATGCCGTAATGCAGCTTTTACCACCATGAAGCTCTCTGGGGCTGTGAGAAGGCAGTGTTGCTTTCTGAGCAGTTGCCCTGGTGGCTCTGTAAACTGGCCCATGCTGTCACCATGCCCTCTCTGAAGGGCACATTGTACCCAAATGACTGCGTTCAGGATTGACTCTTGCCACTCCCTGCCTGCCACATGACACTTCTCTCCACTTGTATCTGTATCCAGTTTTTTTATGTTCCTAAGTGTGGGCCACCCACAGATTGCCACCCAGAGAAACTTGGTGAGGCTCCTTTCTGATCCAATACTTTTCCATTGGATCTGAACCCACCTTAACTCTAGCAATCCCCTACCATTTCAAACCCTAAATATTGGCCGCCTGTCCCTGCCCCTCCGCCTTTATTTCCTCGTCTGCTTTTGCCAGACTCCTTGTTTCTTGAGACTTCACCTTGGCTCTCTCCGCATTTTTTAATACCCAGAGTTCCCCCTAGCTAGTCTGTACTTTCTTCTGGTCTCCTCAGCTTGCTTTCTCAAAGCTCTCCTTCCATAGGGCCTGTCTTGTCTTGGACGGCTCTTGAAGAATAGAAAAGCCACTTTGTTTCATTTCTGCTTTGGATCGTTCACATCCAAAGCATCAAGCAGTTACTGAGTGCCAGCTACATTTGGTCCTGGACAGTATACTGTGGGGTTTGTAGGAGCCCAGAAGTGGCTGTTTTGGAAGGATGGGTCATGCACTAAATGGCACACAGCAGTTGAGAGAGTACTTAGATGCGTAGTAGACAGGGGACTTAGTAACTCAGAAATGGGGTAGGTGATTGTAATGGGTCCAGTTTTAGAGTTCTCTGCAAAACATTAAGACAAGAAGCAGGCCGAGGAAGGTTGCCCACTTCAGAAGGGTTTTTTTAGCTGTCTCACTCGTCAGTTATGCACTCAGGGTAGAAGTAACCATGATTAAGTGAATCTTTATCAGAGTTATTTCTGGTCTACCTTAAGAATGAGAATTTTTTTTTAACTATGTCAACAGGAAATCTTATTGGCAGAGCTATCTTTTTTTCTTTTTTTTTCTTTTTTTTCTTTTTTTTTTTTTTTCGACAGGCAGAGTAGATAGGGAGAGAGACAGAGAGAAAGGTCTTACTTTGCCGTTGGTTTACCCTCCAATGGCCCCACGGCCAGTGCGCTGTGGCCGGCGCACCACGCTGATCTGAAGGCAGGAGCCAGGTGCTTCTCCTGGTCTCCCATGGGGTGCAGGGCCCAAGCACTTGGGCCATCCTCCACTGCCTTCCCGGGCCACAGCAGAGAGCTGGCCTGGAAGAGGGGCAACCGGGACAGAATCCAGCACCCCGACCGGGACTAGAACCTGGAAGAATGAGAATATTGACAAAGCAAACAGCTGCTAGGGCTTATTTCAAAAGGCAGTTTATAGAATACATGGCTATATCAGTACAAGTTCAACTTGATTTTGTACACCATTTTGGCATACTGGGGAAGCAGGGTGTTGTGATGGAGACAACATTCACTAGGGACACGCAGGGCCCTGGACTCAGACCCTTGCTGAGGCACTGACCATAGGCAGTGCTCTCACCCTCTATAGACTGCAGTTTCTTCATCTTTAAATTGAGTTACCACCTGCATTAAAGAGTGGTTCTAAGGCTTTAGGGAGGGCATACATAGGCAGTCCCTGGTATTTTGAAACAGTTAACACAAAGCTGAATAACACAGTTTTGAAAAAAATAATGTGATTTTCATTTTATTTGGAACAGATTTTGTATGCACTGGTTCACTCACCAAGTATCTACAATAAGCTAGAGCTGGGCTAGGTTGAACCCAGGAGCTTGGGACTCGATGTGGGTCTCCCATGTGTGGCAGGGACCCCAGTACCTGAGCCATCCTCTATTGCCTTTCTAGCATGCACAAATAGCAGGAAGCTGGATAAAAAATGGAGAAGCCAGGAAACCAACTAGGCACTTTGACATGGGATGCAGGCGTCCCAAACAGTGACTTAACCACCGTGCCATTTGCCCACTTCATAACTCACATCTTTGAGCACCTACCATGTGCTAATCACTCCTCCAAACACATTGGCTGTATTAACTCATTTAACCCTGACAGCAAACCTGTGAAATAAGTTCTTGAGCAGACAGGTTAGGTTAGTTGGTCAGGGTCACAGGGTTAGCAAGTGGAAGGGCTAGGATGTAAATCTTGACCACTTGGCCCCATAGCCTGCAGTGCTGCCATGGCTATTAGTCCATACTTCCATACTGTCCAGCGATGATTGATGCTCATTTTTATGAGTGAAAGTACAACTTGTTGTTCAGATCCCACATTATTAGATTCAAAGACTGTTCTAACATTTACGTAAGTCAAGCACTCATCTGATGCTCCAGTCTGCTTTACGGGATCTCTGCCAAGTTGTGCTGAATCTATAAACAGAGATTCAATTATGTCCAGTATACCATGCTGACTAAATTACGAAGTCAGATAAGTAGACTCATAAATGTTAAGAAGAATTTAAAGAGAAGCTAGAATAAAATAAAGCCCTTTGATTAATTTTAGATCACCGGGAAACTCATCTAAATAGAGCCTAGTTCCCTAAGCAATCCATTTAATTGGTTTCAGTCTGTCAAGAACATATTTCCCTTGAAAAAGCTTGTCCAATTGTTGGCCTTGCCTGTAACTTAACTGTTGTAAGAAAATCGAGAGGAGATTCGGCATTTTTTGCCCTATTTAAGCCATACTGCAGGTTCACAGGTGGAAAAGTAGCCCAGGGCACTGTTGCCCAGTAATTGTAACTGGGCTGTGTTCTCCATTTTTAGTATCCACAGCTTATTTTCCTGGGATATTTCCTCTGAGCTCCTAAGGAGTGTGTGTATGTGTGTGGGGGTAGATCCAGAAACGTAGCATAATGTTGGGGAAGAGTAGAGTGTACAGAAAGAGCCATTTTCCTGCCAACCACAAAGGGTTCCATGAATGTTTCCAGGGTCCCTCTTAGTTGCATTCTGCAGTTACTTATAGAAGGTTTTACTTAATCTTATTTCATCCTGCCAATAACCTTCA